ACACTGGAAGTTTTTAAGAAGAGACTGGACAGCCATTTGTCCGAAATGGTATAGGGTTTCCTGCCTGAGCAGGGGGTTGGACTAGATGACCTTCAAGGTCCCTTCCAACTTTACTATTATTATTATTATTATTATTATTATTATTATTATTATTATTATTATTATTATTATTATTATTATTATTATTATTATTATTACCTCCAGGGTCCCTTCCAACTTTATTATTGTTATTGTTATAGGAGCATCCTGAGGTAAATTAAACAGTAGCCAGAAGACAGAGAAGAAATAAAGGCAGGAAAAAGGGAAACACTCCCTTTACCCGCCCAGCAACCAATCACAGCGCAGATCACCTCACACAGAATCCAGCGCTCTCCAACCAATCAACTACAACTGCGTGTTCTGGCCCATGGTATGCTTTACTCTGCCAGCCACTAAATTCAGTATCTTAACAGAGTACAGAATGACAGAGTTAGAAGGGACCCTGGAGGTCATCTATTCTGACCCCCTGCTCCAGCAGGAGACCCTGACAGAATCGCAGAATAACAGAGCTGGAAGGGACCTTAGAGGTCTTCTAAGTCCAACCCCCCCACCCGCTCAAGACTCTCTGCTATTTCAGATAAATGTCTGTCCAGTCTCTTCTGAAAAGCCCTCAGTGTTGGAGTGCTCACAACCTCTGGTAGCAAGCAGTTCCACTGGTTAATTGTTCTCATTGTCAGGAAATTTCTCCTTAGTTCTAGGTTGCTTCTTTCCCTGATCAGCTTCCATCTGTTGCTTCTTGTCCTGCCTTCAGCGGCTTTAGAGAATAAGTTGACCCCCCACTCTTCTTTGGGGCAGCCCCTCAAATACTGGAATACTTCTATCGTGTCCCCCTCAGTCCTTCTTTTCTCTAGATTTGTCGTACCCAAATCCCGCCGCCGTTCTTCGTGTTGTAAGGTTTTCCGCTTAGCCTCACAATTGTCCCGGCATTACTCGGGAATTTTAAAAGAGCCGAAGAAACTCCTGAGCTGAGGTTTCAGCAAGCAAACAACTTTTATTTTGATCAAAATAGAGATGGGTGACCCGGTCTCTCTTCCTGGCTGGTAGAGAGATGAAGGCAACGACCGGGAAACATGTCTTCTGCCTTTTATACCTTTCCAGAACAAAAAGATCAGGACTTGGTACCAGGCATAAGATGGCACAAAAAAACAATTCTTAGACGATGACTCATACCCAGCAACCCAGGTTCCATCCTTAACTCCTTTTTCCCCTCCCCTTACCATGCTCTTTTCATGTAAGTAATTACCTGTACCTAAAGCAGGAAACATTTGCTTCTATATAACTAACTACCTGTATCCGGTCACGCGTTGCTGTGGCTTAGTCTGGTTAAATGGAAAAGAAAGAAAAGAGAAAGCGCACGATCTATATAATAGTAAGTATATAAAAACACGCGCGTATTCGAATGCAACGTTATGTCAAAATTTCAAAGCAATCGGTGAAGAACTTTTGGAGATTTAAGATTTGGAACAAACGAACATTTACATTTTTATTTATATAGAATAGATAGATTTCCCATTCAGTATGTTTTAGTCTCCAGGCCTTTGATCATCCCAGTTGCTCTTCTCGCCCCTTTTTCCAAAGTCTCAACCTCTTTTTTTTTGTAATGTGAGGACCAAAACTGGATGCAGGTATTCCAGGGGTGGCCTTACTAAGGCTTTACAAAGCGGTGCTAATAACTTCACCTGATTTTGATTCTATGCCTCGGTTTAGACGACAACCGAGGATCGTGTTAGCTTTTCCGGCTGCCGCCGCACACGGCTGGCATCCGTCCACTCGGACTCCGAGGTCAGAACCCGCCATGCGTGGGAGGCAGCACCCGGCTCTCTTTCGTGGCTTGAATCGACTTTCGGTGCAAGCCACAATCACCCGTGGCTCGGTGTCCCTGCCCGGATCCCAGAAGCAAAGTCCCTTTTATGCTGCCTGCCCCTTCCTGAATGTTGGGGATACGTTCCCTGAATCAAAAGATTGCAATCAGCATTTACCAATCAGCATCTGAAGAGCCTTTATTAATAAAAATGCTAAGGAGAACCAGGTAATAGGGTAGATCTTACCAGGAAACTGGTGTTAAACATATATAGATATAGTCTGTCATTCTGTCATTCTGTCAACTTTACATAACATGTATTTTATATAATACAAGTAGCCCTTGACTTACAACCGCCGGTTTAGTCACCATTTGGAGTTACGGCAGCCCTGGAAAATCTGACTTTTGATAACTTTTCACACGTACAACCGTTGTGGCATCCCCGTCGTCACGCAATCCAAGTTCAGACGTTTGGCAACTGACTCGCATTTATGATGGTTTAAGCGTGCCGGGGGTCCCGCCGTCCCTTTTTACGACCTTCTGACGAGAAAAAATCAAGCCTAACTTCACCGCCACAGCGACTGACTTAACCGTGGCGGGAAAGGTCGTCAAGAAAGGTCGTAAAATGGAGTGAAACCCCCTTCACAAATGTGTCTCACTCCGCAACATAAAGGTTGGGTTCCATCCTGGTCGTAAGTCGAGGACTACCTGTGTACAGGATGTCATTCGGCAAACTTTACGTTACACATATATCTTATATAATACACACGTTTAGTACGTTCCTGTCCAAAGGGTAACGTTTATTCGTGTACTCGTTTTTCCTTTTCTGGTAAATCAAGCCATTTTCATCCTGCTATTTTTTTTTATTATTTTGCACTGGAGAAGTGGGATCATCTCTTCTCTCATCCCCCCTGACCCCCCCAAGAATGGTGGAGACCCCATTCTAGTCCCCCTCAACCACAGAAGCTCCCAGTGTGTGTGGGAGTTATTTTCTTTCAGCGGCAGGACCGTAGTAGAGAAAAAAGAGGTTTTGTCCTGAGAAAGATGGATGGATTCAAATTAGAGACGACGGAGCGCATTTCTGGAAGGCCTAGGGGACACACACAAACACACGGAGAAAATCTCCCTGTGGGGATGCTGAGAATTGACACCAGTGGATTGACACCAAGTGAAAGCTGCGTTTCTCGTGCCAGTGTTGAGATTTCGCGCCCCAATTTTAGCACATTGGTCAGCTGGGATCGGCTCCGTTATCTGTGCCGCTGCGCAGAAGGCTGTGCCACCCCCTGGCCCCTCCCCCCCCAAATGCAGAATCCAGGTCCCTTCTTGGGGTCTATTCTCCAGCTCTCCAATCTGCTCAGTCTGGAGATCAGTCAAGGGGGCCAAGGGGTCCCAAGGCGTGAAGACAGGGCAGGAACTGGGGAGACGTTGGGGTGCGAAGGGAACTGTGGCTCTCCTGGAGTCCCACCGGTCCCCTCCTGCCCTCCCCAGGTGTGGCAAGTTCACTGCAATCAGGGCAAGTCCACACAAGCCACTCACTCCCCAACAACGTCTCTTCCGCTCCCTCCGAAAACTTTGCAAAGCACTCATAAAAAATGGACGACAAGAATAATCACAACCACAAACGCCGCCAAGCAACACCACCCAATCCACGCTCGACACTTTGTGGAATGGGGTACCCAGGTCCTCTCTCTTCTGTTCTTGGTCACGAAAGATCGGACGTGCTCGTCCCGTAAGCTGGGCTCCCCGTACAGCTGGTTGACGTAGCATCGCCCCCCGTTCTGGAAGATGGTTCTCTGCACCGTCTTCATCAGCTCCATGACCTGCCTCTCCCGCTCAGCTCCGGCGGCCTTGTTGTTGAAGCCGCAGAAGCGGTTCCCGCACTGCCGGATCAGATCCTGCAGATTCCAGTTGTCGGACCTTTGGACGTACTCCTGCAGGGAGGTCCCTCCCAAATCCTCCA